AGAACAGTGTATAAAATAATAAAGGGTCTTAGTCGGAAACATTTCAGCATTAATGGAGGAAACCAAAGAGAAAACAGGTAAATAATCAAAAGGGGAGAGGAAATGTTGAAGAATGGGAAGGCACTATGTAGAGACCGAATTAGAGCTGACATGTGAAAGGCAGATCCATAGTTTACAACAAAAGCATAAGTATTACGTGGAATATTCAACAAAATATGGATAAATGAAGTGGTCCTAACAGACTGGACAAGTGGTGCAATCATTCCACTACCGAAGAAAGGTGATCTTCCACACTGCAATAACTGGAGAAGCGTAACATTATTGTCTGTACCTAGAAAGACACTCTGTAAGGTGACATACAACCGAATAAAGAGGTCAGTAGACAAGAGTTGTATCGGATGATCAAGCAGGATTCGGAAAAGAAAGAAACTGCTGTGATGATATTTTCACTCTCAGAAATATTGTAGAGCAAGCTTTAGAAAGGAATGCCACATTATGCTTAAACTTTATAGACTTTAAAAAGGCCTTTGACAGTCTAGATAGAACAATGATGTGGAAGATCTTTGCTGTGTATGGGTTACCAGATAAAGTTATAAACATTTTTAAAAGACTCTTTTAAGAATACCAATGCAAAGTGAAAGTAGGACTCATAGAAATAGGATACTTGAGGGTAACACCAGGAGTCAGACAAGGGTGCATCCTGTCATCTTTCTTGTTTCTCTTGTTACGAAGAAAGCAACCACAGGCGCACGGATGGGCCTTCAGTGGAACCTTCTCGAACACTTGGAACATTTGGACTTTGCAGATGATATCTGTGTCATCAGCCAAAGTAAAGAATATATGCAACAAAAGACAGATAAGATCACAGAAATAGCAAAACAGACAAGGTTAAGAATCAGTTTCAATAAAACAAAACTGCTGTACAAAACCCTAAAAGTGAAAGACCTATAGTGATAGATTATATATAGGTTTGGAAGCAGTAACTGACTTCACTTACCTGGGAAGCAATATCTCCTCAGATGGAAATGTGGTGGTTGAAATAAAGCAGAGAATTTCAAAATCAAATGATGTCTACAACAGACTTCAGAGTATCTGGAGATTCAACATCTACAGCACTAAAACGAAACTCAGGATATACAAAACATGCATTAGGACAGTTCCCCTCTATGGAGCAGAAACTTGGAAAAACAGACAAAAAGATAGAGAGCATGCTCAGAGGTTTTGAGCAAAGACTTCTCAGAAGATTGTTGGGGTTCACATGGGAAGATAAAATCAGCAATTCTAGATTATAAAAAATGACAAGACTTAAAATTTAGAAATATAAAAAAATGAGATGGAGGTGGATTGGACATGTTCTCAGAATGAAGAAAGAAAGAGAGGCACCGCAATGGACACCATAAGGACAGCGAGGAAGAGGCAAGCCCAGAGGCACTTGGAGGTGAACTTTTTAGGCTGAACTCAAACTACGCGAAGGACAAAACTGGAGATAAAGAGGATGGCTCAGGATCGAATTGAGTGGTGACAGTTTGTCTCTGCCTTATGTGTCTCTGGGCGCTATTAGGGTTGATTGATTGATTTCCTATATAAAGTAAATTTCTCTATTCCACCAACTCCATTACATTTTATCTGACTTTTAATTATGGTTTTGACGCAATCCTTGCGGTCACCCTGATGTAGCTGCCAGACGCTCGCCTGCAGATCGGTAGGTCATGGATTCGAGTCCGGACGGAGCTAGACTTTTTCTGACCTTGGCTGCAGCCTAACACAGCTTTGAGTAGGTACCAGGTATCCTGGGAAGTAAAGGCGGCTGGCACGATCACATAACCCATCAAGTGCCAATTGGTGTATAAAATATTGGTCTAGCCCGATATGCCCAGAACGCCCAAAGGCGTAGAAAAAGGATCTGTACAGTTTCACAAGTTTTTACTTTGTTTGATACTCTGTCATGTTAGTGAGTTTTCTTTATACTACCTTTGCTTCTTTTTGCATAATCATCTGCTTCTTCATTCGTCCGATGTCTTTTTGTTTTAAGCGTGGTTGTATTTTACATGTTTACAGTAGTTACTTGCTGTCTTCCCCAGAGATTATTCTGCAGTTGAGGGAGAAGCTCAAGCATCAGAGGGCCTTGGCATCGTCTTCAGGATCTGCCAGTCAAGGTAGTTGTACCAGCTGTGACTGCTTGAACATTACTTATAGAAGTTGTGATGGGTTAAACATTACTCATAGAAGCTGTGATAGGTCAGACATTACTTATAGAGGCTGTGATGGGTTGAACATTACTTACAGAAGCTATGATGGGTCAAACATTATTTTAGAGGTTGTGATGGGTCAAAAATTGCTTATAGGTTGAACATTACAAATTCCACACATTTTCTACAGTTTTTATTGTGGGGGGGGGGGGGGGGGGGATTTAATCAGTGACTGATTAAGCTACTGAAAACTGTTGAGCACTGAGTTTTAAAAAAAAAAAACTCTTAGCCTACACCTTCTGTAAACTCCAGCAGAAAGTTCAGGCTGTTCATTCACTTCTAGAATTCAGTCTTAACTCAAAACTTGAGTTCTCAGTGAAACTTGAAAGGTAAAAAGGAAAGTGTCCTTCACCAGTTCAGGTTGTATTTGGCATAAGATGTGAACCTCCTAATACTTTATTTACAATCAGCTCTGGGTGGGTTAAGTAGTCAACTTGTGTTTCCTGTGTTATTTTTTTTCTCCAAGGTAAATTTTAACAAATCCGTCACGTTCGAACTCGTGGCTCCTAGGCTGGTAGGCAAGCATACTATACAGTGTGGCTCTAGTAACAAGAAATTGATGCAGTACAGCGGAAATTACAGACACATCTGGAATTTAAAAACAAATTCTACCAATGTTTTAATTTTCTAAATGCTGAGCTTATTACGACCAACTGCCAGCATTTTCGTCTGCTAATGTCTAATTTGAAAATTGCATCATCTTAATGTTAAATAACATTAGATATTTAAATACAGCTTTAATGGAACCAACACTTAGCATAGCATGGAAGGCTGGTTATTTGAGCAAAAATGTGATTGAAAACTTGTGTGTGTAATTATATTGATTCTTAAACATTAATTTTTTTCAGGATGCTTAGAATACATTCACCATTAGAGAGATTTGCGTCTTGGCAGTTATCAGGATAGGGAATATTATATGCAATGATTCTTTGGCAGTTTATATAAGAGAGCTATAGTAAATGATACAGCCAAACCTGTATCTTCTTCATCTCCTTCCTCTTCTTCTTCCAATTCTTCTTCTTCTTCTCTTCTTGGCATTCACTGGCTGTAAACTCCTGCAGAAAGTTCTGGTAGTTTGTCCACTTCTAGACTTTGTTCTTGTTCTGGAACTTGAGTTTAGAATGCACATACATATTACAGACCTGGCTTTTTTATATGTAGACTGCTTGGTTTCTCGCCTCTCAGTCATATGCCCTCCGATTTCAAAAAGACCCTAATTATTTGTCTTGTACAACATGCTTGTTAGGGGCGGGGCAGTGGGACTGTTCTTTCTTTCCCCAAAATGGGACACTATAACCCACACAGGGAATATAGAGTTATAGTGACAGTCTGCAGGTTAATGAGAATTTATGTGTACGCTGGAGCTGTGGGTTTTTTTTTTTAGAAGAATGATAATAGCACCGAAGATAGATACTTAAAACATAATGAACGTATTCTCCAGATACAAGTCTGACAAGTGAGAATAGCACCGAAGATAGATACTTAAAACATAATGAACGTATTCTCCAGATACAAGTCTGACAAGTGAGAATAGCACCACCAGTGCTCCACCACCTTATCCTCTACAGCCTGTAAGCCTGCCTCCAAAAGATGTTGCACAGGGGCAAGGCAAGCCAAGGAAGATCGCTGCTTCACACTCGTCACCCAGTTACAAAGGTAGTGTTTTCCTGAGATTTCTACCATCAGCTCTAGTTCTTGTTTGTTCTTTGCTGGTGCTGTTAACCTTTGTGGCTATAGAAGAACATTTATTGATACTTCCTAAATCAGGATCAGAATTAAAATGATTTGCCGTCTCCACAATGAAGGGTGGCTGCAGTTTATTTTACCCAGTGTTGTTATTTTGTGAATATTATGTTGTCAAGCTCCCATCTTTTGCGTGGTGTGATGTTAATACTATTGCCTGAATGCCATGAGAACAGATTTCTTATTATTATTCTTCTTCTTCGCGTTCACCATCTGTAAACTCTGGCAGAAAGTTCTGGTTCTTTATCCACTTCTGGACTGCATTCCTGTTCCAGAACCTGAGTGTTGTGTGTGCATCCGTTTTACAGATCTGACTCATTTGTATACAGACTGCTGGTTCCTTGCCTGTCAGGCAGATGCACTCTGACTTTGAAGGAAGCTCCCAATTAGTCGACTCTTATGACATGCTTCTGGGTAGGCAGTGGGTCTATTCTTGTTTTCCCTATAACAGAGCCTGGAACCTACACAGGAAATTTCTTTTTATAAAACCCTGCCCTTGGTGGAAGTGAAATCCTGGAACTTCAAGGATGTAGAAATTTTGAATAATTTGGAGCAGAAAGGTGGCAGTCTTTGTTATCTGTGATAATTACTGAACTAAAGCAGCCAAACCCTCAGTCTAGTCTTGTTCAAGCATCTGGACATCTGGGACCCTGCACTAAACCATAATTGTCTCTACCTGGGCAATGCCTGGGAGATGGTTGGAATAATGAACTGACCTCCGATTTCAGAGCCACTCCTGAACACGGGGATTTATATTTACTATCATCTTTCTTAGACTGGGTTGCTTAGTGACAAACTTGCTACCAGATTTACAGTTCTGTTCAGAGCTATCTCTTGTGTGCAGTCATAATTGAAGATGCAAAGATTGCCTTATGCTGCCCTCAAGGGGGAAGTAGATAGAGGTCACAACCCTGAGAACAGGATCTGCAGTTATGAAAGGATTGCATATGCAGCATCCATCTCTGTGTGGATTAGTTACAAGTGAAATGATGTTTATTGTTGTTTCAGGATTCTCAGAAGTACCATCAGAATTGTCCTCTCCCTGGAGACTGAATACAAAGCTCAAGAAAAATGACAGGCTTTTAAAACAACCTCCGCTGCAGCCAAAAAAGCACGACCTTGAAAGTAAGTACGCTTTTGTCTCTGAAATGACATAAGCAGGTGCTAGTAACCATAAGAGAGCATATTTATGGGGGTAGAGAAGATTAGAGTAAATAAGCACGGACTAGTACCATTAGAGAATTTATTTATGGGGGTAGAGAAGATTAGAGTTAAATAAGCAGGGACTAGTTACCATAGGAGACATTATTTATGGGGGTAGAGTATATATGTAAGTGTGTGTGTGTATATATAGGTGCACGCACACACATATATATGTGTGTGTGAATATATAGGCACACATACATATATATGTGTTGTGTGTGTGTATTGAAAACAATACCTATCTCATGTAAGAATTGTTCTCTTTCACCCTTAGATGCATCATATATACATTTTTTGTCATTCATACTTTTCTCCATGTTGTTATTTATTTGTATTTTTCATCTAAACAAGGCATCCGGATGACACCTCAGACACCCAGTCCAGATTTGTTGAAGAAGGTGACCAGAGCTTCAGCAAATAGAAAATCTGCCAAACCTGTGGTTTCCAGTGAGTATTTGTAGTCAAATCTTAAAAGTACATAATATTCTGCTAGTAACTATAGTCAGATCTTAGAAGTACATAATTTTCTGTCCCTAACTATTGTCACATCTTAATATTATAAAGATAATTATAGTCAAATCTTAGAACTATATAGCATTCTAATGATAACTATAATGGGCGGACAAAAGAGAAAAATAAAAGCCATTGAAATTTTCCTGAGATGGAAATGTAAAGTCTTACAGTAGTAGATCGTTGTTGCTCTTCCACTATGTTTGCGCTTTAAAAAGTGGTTATCATATTGTGTTGTGCTTTACAGCTCAGCTGAGATATTTGGGCCTTTCAGCTCAACACATCTGATTTCATCAAATCCCTAATTAGTTACTGTAATAAACCTTGGCTTGACTTGGACTGCGCTTTGGCTTACTACTTATTGGCTTTAGCCACGGCTCACTCTCTGGATGTTACTGCTACACAACTTGCACTACTTTAACGTCTAGAGTTGACAACACAAACGCCGCTCAGCTTCTTGGTACATTCTGTCAGTTTATTCTGGTCCATTTATTTCACATGTTCAAACATTATTCACACTTTATCACTCGCGACATATTCGAACATTAAACATTTGCGCAACATAAAGACGACATCTTCAAATACTACAACCGTCTTCTCTCACTTCTGATGATCGACTGACCACGAGTTTAGCTCGCGCTTTCCCTCGCTTCCTCGACTAGGCACAAGTATCTCGTGCTGTCCCTTGTTGCACGGACTTTCTGCTTGCCACTATGTAATCGTGAGGACCATGCAAAGCAGGGTCATTACAGTTACAAAACCCCTAAAACCGGGTCTGTTCTTCATCCCCCCCCCCAACCCCCCTCTAAATGGGGGCCCTAGCAGAACCCACATGGGGTAGGTGATTATTCTGTAGTGATGGAGATCTAATAGCAGTTAATCAAATGTATGCAATACATCACATTGTAAGTTTCATGGCAGTTCTACTCAGTTGTTTGATCTTTCCTCAGACATAATAACTACTTCATCATGGCGAGCTGGGCAGGACCTTGTCATGAAAGAATTGGGTTTGGTCCCCAAAATCAAAAGGTCTGGTCAAGGTGATGCCATCCATGAAACTCGTAAAGCTGGCACCAACACAACACCCATCGCCAGTACCAACCTATTACCCATAGGCAGTGAGGGCAGCCAGTACAGACGGCAGCAAGGCATGGGAGAAAAGTATGCTGGACTAGACGATTCAATGGCTGCTTCTGCTAATGCTGACAGGGACAATGACCAGATGGTGGGAGAGGTCATCACCAACACTAGAGTTTTGTCTAATGATGCCAGAAGTGTGCTGAATGAAGTACTGCAAGGTACTGGTCAGAGTACTGTTGTTGGAAAACTCTTATTGATGTGTTGTTGTTGTAATACTGTTGTTGGTGGGCTGTTGCAATCCTGTTGTTCTAATGTTTTAATGTTGTCAGTGTGCTGTTTTTGTTTTGTTGTGCTGTTGTATTATTATTGTTGTTAGTGTGCTGTTGCAATATTATTGTTGGTGTGCTGTTTTTGTGATATTGTTGGTGTGCTATTGTTGTACTACTGTTGTTGATGTGCTGTTGTAATATCAATGTTGGTGGGCTGTTGTTGTAACATAGTATAGAGTGTATTAGATATGAATGTTACCAGATTCCAGCACATAGGCAGTGGTGTAGAGTGTATCAGACATGGTTGTTACCCAGCATCCAGCACACAGGCAGTAGTATAGATTGCATCAGTAATTGATGTTGCCCAGATTCCAGGCAGTAGTAGTCTCAGCAGATGATATAGTCAACATCACACCGGCCACCTTTACTTATCAGGGTATTAGGTCGACCTGGCATCCATCCCTTGGGACTTAAAGCCCTACACCTTGTTTCTTCTTTTGCCTTTCTATCCCCCAAGGGAGCATAGGCCCTCAACCAACTCATGCCAAGTCGTTCTATCCTTCGCCATTGCATGGAGCTCTCCCCATGTCCTCCCCATCTTTCTAACCTCATTCTCCAGCTCTCTTTTCCATGTTTTTTTTTTTTTTTGTCCTTCCTTTATTCCTATGCCCCTGTGGGTTTCATTGCGAAGACATTCTAGTTATGCTGTTCTCCTGTTTTCTCAGTGTGTGTCCTATCCAACGCCAGCGTCTTTTCCTCACCTCTTGGTCCACTGGAGCCTGTTTAGTTCTCTCCGAAAGTTCTACATTAGTTATTCTATCATACCATTTTATTCCCTCTATTCTGCGCAGGCACCAGTTAATGAATGTCTGTAATTTATTAGTAATTGCCTTGGTTGTTCTCCATGTTTCAGACCCATACAATAGTACTGATTTGACATTAGAATTAAAAAATTTTAGTTTAGTATTTCTTTTAATTTCTTTTGCCCTCCACAAATTCCCTGGTGCTATGAAAGCCCCTCTTGCCTTTTGTATTCTTTTAATATCTCTATCAGTCCGTCCATCTTTATCTACATTACTGCCTAAATAGGAGTACGACTCCACATTTTGGAGTGGGGTGCCATTACTATTAGCCTGATTTATTCTTATTATCTTTGTCTTTCTTTTATGGATTTTCAGACCAAGCTGCTGTGATCTCGCATCAAGTATATTTAATTTATCTTGCATCTGATTCCGTGAATGGGACAGAAGAGCAATATCATAAGCGAAGTCCAGATCATCAAACTGTTTTGTAGGGGTCCACTGAATTCCATTCTTGGTGTTAGCAGTTACTGTTTTCATAGTCCAGTCTATAGCCAGTAAAAAAAAAGGGGGGCGACAAAAGACATCACTGTCGCACACCTGTTTTTATTTCAAATGCATCTGTTAGCTTTCCCTCACGAAGAACTCGACATTTCATGTCTCTATATGTTGCCTTTACTAAGTTGATAATTTTCTGTGGGATTCCATAGTGCCCCATCAATTTCCAGAGAGATTCCCTATCAATGCTGTCAAATTCTTTTTCATAGTCTATAAATCCAATGTAAAGTGGTAAGTTCAGTTCAATGCTTTGCTCTATTATAATACGTAATGTGGCTATCTGGTCAGTACAGGATCTGTTTGACAGAAAACCTGCCTGCTCATCTCTTAGCATTTTATCAATAGCATCTTTTAATCTTTCCAAAATAATTCTACTTAATATTTTTCCAGGAACTGACAGCAACATAATTTCTCTATAGTTTTCACACTCCTGCAGATCACCTTTTCTGGGTAGTTTCACAAGATATCTTTCTCTCTAGTCTGCTGGTATTTCTTCGTTCTCCCAGACTTTACTGAATAATCTATGTAGCAATTCTGTTGATGTGTTAATGTTGGCCCTGATGGCTTCAGCTGGGATACCATCTGGGCCTATCGCCTTTCCTTCCTTGAGAATATTGATAGCTTTTCTAATTTCCTCTTTGGATGGTATCTCACAGTTGATATTCAGATCCATTTCTAAAGGCTGGATATCTGGGGGAACCTCTGGGCCTGGTCTATTTAGAAGCATTTCAAAATATTCAACCCATCTGTCCATTTGATCTTTAGTGTTAGTAAGTACCTTCCTTGACTATTTTTGATTGATCCAGTTGGCTGACTATATTTACCACCTTGTTTAACTACTGTTTAATGTTTGGCTGTCCTATGTCTATTTTGAGATTTACTAGACTGTCTAGTGATGTTAGTCTTGTGTCTGTTGTTCAGGCAACTCAGAGGAGCTGAAACAGAGCAGTCAGCAGCGGCCCACCTTGAAAAGAAAAGCTCCAAAGACTCCAGGTAGTAGTTGTGTTCTTCAGTCCATTGTTTAGTCGTATGAATGTATGGAGAATTGATGTCACTGAACTTGGTAACTGTATTTGGTTCTGCTGTCACTGGAGCAGTTGTTCAGCTGTCACTGGAGCTATGGAATTCTGCACTTTGTGAAATGATTTCGATGGATGAACAGTTTCTTCTTCTTCTTCGTGTTCACCAGCTGTAAACTCTGGTGGCAAGTCTTGGTGGTTCATCTACTTTTGAACTTTGGTCTTCATTCAGTGCCTGAGTGTTGCGTGACATCCGTTTTACAGTTTAACTCACCAATGAACAGCCACAGAGCAGAAATAGGGGGGGGGGGGAACAGTGCATGAACCTGATCCTTGAGCCTTTTAATACTTCCCAAACATCCTAATTATCTTAGTACTAATTTGTGAAATTTATAAATTCATCTCCGCATTAGAAGTTAGATGCAGTGCATAAATTACTGTCTTTGGGCTAATGGGTACAATACACCCCCTGATATTCATAGTATTCTTCTCAAAAACCATGTCTGCACTGTTAAGTTAAATATTTTTCAGTCTGTCTACTTATTGTCCATGTCTTACATGCATATAAGAACACAGATTCTGTAAAGCACTTCAACACTTATTCTCAATACTGTTGACAACTTATTGGTAAGTAACTTTTGCATCTTGCTAAAGGCCACTTTTGCCATGGCAGTTCTTGTTCTTGTTTCATTAGGCATCTTGCTTAAGAGTTTTGAATTAATCAAGTAACAGAAAGTATTGTGAACGGCACATTTTCTTGTATTCTAAACTGACATTTCACTCTTTTTGATGATGACTAATTTTGTTTTCTTACAATCTAACTCATAAGTTTTTATTTGTTATTTCTCTTCTTTTGCAGATCCGGAGAAACTTCAGCAGCCGTGTGAGAAAACGAGGCATTATGATCAGGACTCAGTTCGTAAATTTATGGCCAAACAGAAGGCGGAGCGTCTAAAACGGCAGCATGAAGTAAGTTAGTTGGTATAAAGCATTAGTGTATTTAAGGTCTAGTTTCCGGGGGGTTTTTCCTTTAAAGATGCAAAAATTGATTCACACGCACAAACTCAGAGACTAAGAACAGAACCAAAGTCCAGAAGTGGGTGAATAACCAGAACCTTTTGCCAGAGTTTACAACCCATATTAACAGCTGTTGCAGAAGGTACAACAAGGTTTATGTTATAGGCTGTTATATGGTAGGCTGAGGCGCCTGT